TATATTTAGCACACTTTTCGATTTCCAGATATCGATGGATTTGTGCCCAACGATGTAGACGTCTTCGTAACTGCCCTCCTCTTTGCAGAAACAGGTTGGATCTTCTATTGTCCATCTGAGCATCAGGTTAGAATCCGAACCTCTAGTTTAGTGGTTCTCAACCTTCTTAATGCCAAGACCCATTGGTACAGTTCACTCATATTGTGGCGACACCACCACCCCCCCCCCCCCCACAATTATTTTCCTTCATAACTTCAATGAATACGTGTTTCCCTATGGTCTTATGCGACTTCTTTGGAAAAGTCGTTCGACCTAAAAAGAGGACGCGACCCCCAGGTTGAGAACGGCTGCTCTAGCTCAAGCATGTTAACCGCGCTGCCCGTGGGCCAAAAGCGAACTGCTACAATCACGCATGCGGTCCCCACAAAGGCTACCTAAACAAGTATCTTGTTAAATGGCTTCAATTAGTTGTCGTTTATGGCCCTCATGACAACAAGAACATGACCCATACGGCCCACGGGACCCTCTGTTTGAACTGTCTGCTATAGCTAGCCCATGATCAATCTATAAAATCTATTCTCTAGCTCAGTGCCAGATGACATTGGTGAGAGAGAGAGAGAGAGAGGGAGAGAGAGAGAGAGAGAGAGAGAGAGAGAGAGAGAGAGAGAGTTTCGCAAATGAAGAGACTGGAACCTGACAACATAATAATACCAAAGACAGCAGTGAAAGCACTACAGATATATATATCTGCCCATTTTCGTGTATGACAAGATCCCCACGTCCCTTTGAGTCATGACAATACCCCCCTCCCTCTCCCCCTCCCCTTTCAACATAACAAAATGTGATTAAAAACAGAAAGGATAATAGACTCCGCAACAAACGAAACTGAAAGTATATAGATGCGGTTTGGTCAGAATGTGTTCTTAATCGATAATGAAATGCCTAAGTTATCATATTAATTAGATTTTTAACGGTAGATGTACATACTGCTGCTCAATAAACCAAAAATGCCCTTGTTTTGTTTAATAAACAGTTTTAGAGAATATTTTATTTATAGTTAACCTATAAATATAAATAAAGCGGATTATTACAAATTAAAATGGATTCACTTTCAAAATGGCTTGACGCCCGCCCACCCCCCCCCCCCCCCAACGCCCAGGTTGGAGATCCCTGATCTAGCACAATAGATATAACAAAATTTCCCTGTCAGCCCTTACCCACTCCATACGTAACGTTACAACAAGTACCACTCTGCGCCCATCAGTGACGCCCATGACTTGTACATTATCGTGAATATTAAAACCTCGTCTCTGCCAGATTATGACGTGGTTGGCAGTTAAATTGATCACAAAGATGTTGGTGTGGTAGTGGAGCTGCTATTAACTTCTTTACGGTCGAGTCGTTCAGTTCATGAATGCAATTTGTCGTTCCCCAGGAGATCCATGGGAATGAGTTAGAGATAAAATATAATTTCGGTTTGAAAGGTGAATGTTTGAAAGGCCGAATGCCAAACTGCTTGCCCAATTTATTACTCTTTGAAAAGAAAGCTCGTTCGTTCGTTCGTTCATTCGTGCTTTCAAAATTCAATCAATCAAGACAATCAGGTGCCGTCTCCACAATGAAGGTTGGCTGCAATGGATCTCCATCAAGCCCTGTCTCTTGCCCTTGATGTACACTCACTCATACTGCTGTTCGTTCATCTTTCAATATTCGGCAATTACTATAACTCGTTCCTTTCTAAGAAATTGTTACATTAAATCAGCTAAAAATAACAAACACAAAGTAAGTGGCTTAGAATTGAATTAGCGGTCACGGTCGAATCGATCAGTTCACGATTGTTTCGTAGTTCCCCGAGTTTAGATCCAGCCAATCTGTCTGCCTGATCATTCCCAACCACTCCGGTATCCTAGAGAAAAGATCCAAGATATGCTCACTAACCGTAACCTTTCAAGTGAAGTTTGCGACTCTACCTGAAGCAACCCCCGTCTTCACCTTTTTCAGCATGCTTTTGGAGTGTTACAATTACGACATGTGTGTGTATCTTGTTCTCTAGCTACCGAAAAGCTGCAGTGACCGCCTCTACCTCCATTCTCATGCTAGATATTGTGGTATTATAATCGCATAGTTCCCTGAGTTTACAGCCAGTGAACGCTAAGAAGAAGAAGAGGTCCCAAAACTTAAGTTTTGAGTGCGCAGCCATTTTACAGATGTAGCTTATATGTGTCCACACTGTTGGTTCCTCGCCTCTCTGTAATTTGTTTTCTTCAAACATGCGTGTTAAAGGGCAGCCTGTCCACCCCAAACCCCCCCCCCCCCCCCCCCCCACCCAGCCAGATTCCGAACCAACACAGTTGAATGTTGATCACATATAAATTGCTAAAAAAAAAAAACATAGTTATATGATGGCGGGTTCTATTAGTCTGTAAATAAAATATCGCTCTCGGGTGTGCGAAAAGCTGGCTCAAATGTTGTTTACCGTATCTAGTGGACATGAGTACGTGAATGGGGTGGGTTAATTTCATCGTTTTAACGCAGTGGTCAATTGTGTTTAAGACCATACTTGTAAGCTTAGCTCGTGATGCGCGCACCAGAACACAATTAATTGCTTACCCAATTGAAACCCTACTATAGGATAACGCTGCACAAAACGTAACGTTCTCAGGTTGAACGTGGTTGAGTTTTTGATTTAAAAAAAAGAAAATGAAATTGGGAAAAAACGTCCAGTTCGTTTCAAGCAGTCAAGAAGGGCACCTCTATCTATAAATTTAAGGAATATTGCTATTGGATGACTGCAGGCAGGAGAAAGTCAAATTCAGGGTGCCAGGCATCTCAAAGTGCATCAGAGTACCATCGGTCGACTCTGCCACCGGTTCCAAGCCATTGGTTCAGTTGAAGACCGATATCGTAGTGGACGACCCAGAGTGATAACAGCAGCGGAGAATCGCTTTACTCGGCTTCATCACCTCAGAGGCAGGTTTACAGCAGCTTCTTTAACTGCGCAGGCATTGCCTAGAAATTTTGTGTCTGATCTAACTGTTCGGAACAGACTGTAAGACGTTGGACTTTGGGCACGACGGCCACACCCAGGACCTGTCCTTACGTCGCCACCACCAAGCTCGATTTCTCTGGGCCAACCAACATTGTCCCTGGGCAGGTGACAACTAATGGAAGCGCAAAATTGTGCCGATGAAGCTCTGCTGCACGGTGCTGGAGGTGTAATTGTTGAGGGTGCTGGTACTCGCTGGATCTGGTCAGGTCACATCAGGTTGAGGGGTGGTTCTCAGATCGCTTTCCCTGTTCTGGATATGAACTGCTTTACAAGTCGCTGGACCTTGTCGTCGCATTTACACTGAGGCAGTTTTCAAATATCATTGTTTGCTTCGTGGCTCTGAAGTGCAGTATGAGCTCTTGTCTTTCTATTTCGTGGTGGCTACAAGTTAATAAGAAGTGCTTCATGGAATTAGGGGCCCTGCATTCCTCGCACACAGGAGTGCGGAATCTGTCTGGCCGGCACCCTAGTCGCATCTTCCACAGTTTTTGAATGACTTAAATTTTGATCGGCTTAGTCACTTAATCCTTGAAACTTGGTTTATGGAACAGTTTGTAGGCAGCTCTGCCTTTGTCGCTGGACGACCATTGCTGGGGCCATTCTCTGCATATTTTGCTTCTGATTAATGCTTTAAGTTCAGTTTTGCCCAGTCCCAATTACACTTGAGACTTCAACAGTCTTTTTTTTCTTCTTCTCTCCCCCATTTTTTTAAAACTCGTCCCTTTGCACAATGTTCTTTTTTCCCCATGCACAATGTTATTTTTTCCCCCACTTCTCGAATTCCTTCTTTGTGTGTGTGTGTGTGTGTGTGTGTGTCTTTGTATGTGTGCACGCACGCGCGAGCGCCGTCCTTCCTCTGCTTCTACTTTTTAAGCTCCTTCCTTTTATTTTTCTTTCTTCGCTTGTCCTTCCCTCCTCCAAATTCTCCATATTTTTTTTTATTCTTCCTAATTTCACTATTTATCCCCCCTCATCATCAGGTTGTAAAGTTACTTATTCTCCCATATGCGATTCTCCTTTCTGTTATTTAATCATCATCATCATTACCTTCTTATTCTTCTTGAGCTCTTCCTTTTGCACAACGATCGTGTCCTCGACCTATTAAATTCTTCCTATCTCGCCTTCGCTCTCCTGCGTAGCAATGAAATATCTACTTGACTTTCAAACCATGAACCAAAGGATCAGGATCTGGAGGACTCGGGCATACCTTAAAATACGTTCTCACTTAAAAAAAAAAACCACTGCATCTTCTTTGTTCTTTTTTGCTCTTCACTCCCCTCATTTTTCTTCGTCTTTTTTTTTCTTTCATTCAATTCACGTCCTTCTTCTTTTAAACCATATGCATTTCAATAATATTCCCACTTTCTCTACTTTCTGTGGGAAAAATCAGACGTTTGCGAAAACTGCATTTCTGAATAAGCCTAAACTAGAGTAAGTTAATCCGCTAAAGTCGATGTTCACTAACATATGGATTTTTACTTTGTCACACGAAGTTGTCAGGTAGGCAACGCACCCTGTCCGGTGAATCTGTCCAACGCTTTAGCAGTAGTTCCCAGCCTGATTCCCTTGGAACCTTATAGGATAAATGATTCTTTTTCTTCAGGCAGATGCACTTCTTCGTAGGAAACACCCTTCATTAGTCGAGTTTTACGCCTTGCTTATCAGGGAGCAGCGGATATATCCCACAAAATGGAACCCCGAAATTTACACGATAATTTTATTGATTCTAAAAAGGGCCCCGTCAAGTTTAAAAGATTGAGAACCACCGATGGTCTACATTGGCTGTGTTATCTATCGGTGCACGTTAACTGTGACCTACAACACATCCAGTCCACGTTTTGTTGGAGCCATCACTTCTGCTTCTTTCGTGTTGTTGCTTGGGGACGAAGTTTTAATTGAAATTCTGCATCACTTCTATTTCACACTGGAATAGGATCATACATTGATAGCAATGTCTAATTTTAGTAGTTTTACTTTATTTTATTATATTTGCTGTACTTTTATACTTTGTGCAGTAATTCAGGGAATCGATAGTGGCGACAGTAAGAAAGTGAAAAAGGTATAACTATAGTAAATAGTAATAATAGTATAGTAAGTAGTACTAGTACAGTACTAGTTACTAAGTAACTAAGTTAGTAATAGTTACTAATACTAATAGTAAGTAAAGTAAAGTGGCTACATTAAGACTTTACAGTGTAAAGTAAAAGATTTATTTTATAAATTTTAATATATATATATATATGTGTGTGTGTGTGTGTGTGTATATCACTCATTTTTAGAAACAAACACCTGAATAGATAAGCGATAAGTTTTGAAGTCATTTGGTTTACGTCTGTAGATATAATTGTTATTCATTATTTGATTATTAATTTAAAAAAAAAATTGAAATCAGTGATCAGCCATTAGTCTAGTTTTTAATGGATTAAGGTCTTGAAATATCAGGCAAAAGAAAGTAGGTAAATGAGTTTTACCCCACCAGGACATCACACAGAGCGATAAACTAAACACCTGGTTTAATGTGGAGTCACGCAGAAAATTATTAACTCAGTAAAAACATGACATGAAATGTTGAGGTAGTTCTTCATTTCATAAGGGAAAGCAAACAGATACATTTAAAATGATAATAGGTGTGCGACAGGGATGTTGGCTATCCTCCGAATAACAGTCCTAAATTATCAAGGCGGAAAATATTCCCTAACAGGGCCTCAGTCACGTGTCAATTGCGCACTTCTGGCGACTTCCACCACCGCCGAGAGTATTCCCCACGCCGCTCATGCGGTGTGGATTGGGGCTAAACTAGATCGCTAGGACTCACGAGCAAATAAAATGAAGGAAGCTACAGGACATGCGGTAGCTGCTGCTCGTGAGTCCCAGCCATCTAGTTAGCCCCAATCCATGCCGTACAAGCGGCATGGGGGATACTATCAGCGGTTGCGGAAGGCGCCGGAAGTTCATAATTTAAGATGACGGAAGTGCGCAATTGACACGTGACTGAGGTCCTGTTAGGGTATTTTTTCCACCTCAATAATTTAGGACCGTTATTCGGAGGATAGCCCGGATATTTTTTATTATCTCTCCTATCTTTCAGGCAGTAGACTGGATTATGAAGACAGCAAGTGGCTAACACCAGAAATGGGAGGGGGGCTGAGTGGTCTTGAGGGTATGGCGTCCACCTCAAGTGCTGGAGATAATGGGCTGTGATCTTTTCACGTGGACTTCTAGTAATTTCCTCTGGTCTCTGGGTACTAAAATCAGACACCCATGTGTGTTGTTGTGCAAGTAAAAAATCCCTTGGCAGTTGGAAATTAAAAAAGAGTAGCCTAACGGTGCTGCCGGGGCAAAATGTTGAGTTAAATCTACCCAAAGTGTTTCAGAATCCTCACTGGTGCTACAGAGTTTGTGTACTGTGCTGAGATTCTTCGGACTCAGGCTTGAGTTAGAAGTAGGAGGCTTGAGTTAGAAGTAGGAAGAAGAATGGAGCACTTATGGATTACTGCCCTTTGTGCCATGATGTCGATCTATTTTATAAATCAAACCAGATTAAACAAAACCAAACCAGAAATGGAATTCAGTGGACCCTGCAAAACAGCTTGATGATGTGGACGTCGCTGATAATGTTTCTCTTCTGTGTCACTCACAGAATCAGATGCACGATGAATCAAATAAACTTGCTGCAAGATTACAACAGCTAGGTCGAAAAATCCATAAGGGAAAGACAACGATAATGAGAATAAATCAGGCAAATAGTAATATGGTTTCTCTTCATAGTATCCCACTCCAAGACATAGATTTCATGTACCTGTTTGGGCAGCATTGTAGAGAAGGATGGGGAACTGATTAATTTAGTTGCGTATCCTTTACAGGACGTTGCAGAACCAACCCTAACAGCCCCTGACTGTTGCGTGGTTTCTCTAGGCAATTTACATCCAGTAGTTTGCCATTGCTTTCTGGACGGGGAACTGATAGAGATATTAAAATACTGATACCAAAGGCAGGAGGAGCTTTCATAGCACTAGGAAATTTGTGGAGGTCAAAAGACATTAAAACTACTACTACTTCTTCTTTTCTCCACTCGTTTGCTCCAGTTCTTCTTTTTCTGGAGAATGGCATCACTTCTATTTTGTCTACATTGTTCTTCATATCATAGTTGTTGCATGCTGAGTGGAGTCTGTTAATATATTCTTGTAGCTGCACTTCTGTTGGTGCTATGATGGCCTGGTCGTCAGCAAAAAGCAGTTTATTTAGTAATTCTCCAATGTTTGTCCCCTTTGCTGCTGTTAGCTGATTTGCAGATCTGGTTGATGTATGTGATGAACAGTAGTGGTGATAAAACACACCCCTGTCTCACTCCAGATCTAATGTGAAGCATCTTCGACATTCCTTTGTTTGTTGTAACTGTGCATTGACTGTTAACATGTATACTCTGGCACACTTTAGTAAGATGTTTGTATGGAACAGAAACATGGAGAACTACTAAGGAAATGACTTATAAACTACAAACATTGATTAACTTTAGCCTGCGCAGAATAAAGGGGATTAAATGTTATGGTAGAATCACCAGTGTTGAGCTCTGGGAGAGAAATAAAGTTGCAGTAGTCCAAGAGGTGATGAAAATATGACTTGGGTGTCTCTGCACTGGAACCCACAGGGGCATAGAAATAAAGGCAGACCAAAAAAACACATGGAGAAGGGAGCTGGAGAGTGAAGTTAAAAAAGATAGCGAGGACATGGGGAGAGCTGCATGCAAAAGCAAAGAATAGAACAACTTGGTGTCATTTGGTTCAGGACCTATGTTCCAATGGGGGATAAAAGGCAGAAGAAGGAGAATGCTAATAAGAAGAAGTATTCCATGCATAATTTTTTTGCACAAGATTACAACCCAGTGTGCAGCTCTGTGGCTTTGAAGTTAGTGAGAGTGATGAACAATTTCATAATCTTTGAATAGCAGGGTTTGGTTTCCCACAGCAGGCAATTGTTATTGGATAGTGGTATGAGAGTTGCACTGTGGAAAAGAGTGGGGCCCTGTCTGGTAATATTCTAAGGACAGCAGCGGGTACACTATAGCCAACCTCCATTGTAGAAACAGCACACAGTTTATACAGTATGGTGGGTTATGTAAAATTTGAATGTATGACTATCAGTCTGGAAAGGTGCCAATGCACTGATAGAACAGAAAGAGTATTTTAGTCCCAGTTGGTTTGGCATCAGTGGCCCAAGGGGTAATAATACACAAAAATGTAGAATTGGTGCATCTTGTCTTCATTGGGCTTCTAGGTGAGAACCTATGAACGAATGTGTCCCTTGGGACTTGAAGAGTTAAGAAAAGCATAATATGTAGGGAGTTAACTAATAAATATATGGTCATTTCCTTGTAAAGGATGTGTTAAAATACTTTTATATTAAAACTCAGCACTGCTGTCAGGAGTCTCAACCATGACAGCAGACATTATACCATGAGCAGTGCTGTGTAAACCAAATAGAAATAATTAATAACAAATAACGGTAAACAGAAACTGGTGTGCAGATTCTAATGCTCATGTCAACCCTCGCAGGCCTCAGTAACGTGGTTCTCCTTGAACACGCATATAGTGAAGGCAGTTACTTTCATATTCGTCCCAGGGCATGCAGGCGTGGTTGGTAATGAGAGAGCTGATAGACTGGCAGGTACTGCATTAATTGTAGATGGCCGGCCCATGAATCACGCAGACATTGTCATTGCTCTTAGAGAGAGAGAGATAGGACGTTCTGGGGATTTTGGAAGCAACGTGTCCACATCACTGCGAAGAATACGCGAATTGGGAGTAAAGATCGGCACAGCCAAGCATGAGAAGCACACCGGGCGCACATAAAGTCTTGTTAACCAACATAGGACTGGTACTATTAACCGCTCGACGCTGATGAACATCTTCTTCTTCTTCTTCTTCGCGTTCACCAGCTGTACACTCTGGCGGAAAGTTCTGGTCGCTTGTCTGAAATTGAGGGGGGGGGGGGGGCAGCCTGGAGCTGTCAGAAATGGGCATGTCACTAAAGGGGGCTAGATGTTTGTTGGTTAACCCATTCAGTACCTGTGAATGCACTATGCCTTTATCAGTTATTTCTAGTATGACATGGTGCCTCTCTCACTGTAGTCCATCCATATGTTACATTACCTCTTTATACTCAATTTATTACTTTAACCACTCATGTCTCATAATGTTATTATCTGAACTACTGTAATTTCAAACATTGATTAGTTTATAGCAACAACTGCATAGAACAAACAAACTTAAATTTCAAAGGGTAAAAATAAGCTTGATTGATTGACACTACCAGTGACTGAAAGAGTGAAGCAACACACAGTGGGTGGGATCAGTCATTTTACGCTTGTAGATCAGTTGGGGAGATAAAAGCAATTGTGGATCTGTTCAGAGTGCTGTGTTGATGGTTCTCATTAATCACTAATCAAGGATTTACATTCACAGAATGAAGAACGCAAACCATTATCTTCAATTTGTAACACCACTTGTTCCAAAGATATAAACACCACAAAGACAGGAAACTTCTGTCGCAGTGTCTCCACCACAAAGCTATATGGTCGATGCTGTTACAATACCACAGATACAACAATTTTAGGGTGAGAAGTTGTCTTCTGTATCGTAAATGTAATTAATCTTCTTCTGCTTGTGTATGTGCTGATGTATGTAACCTGTATGTGTTTGTGTATTTGTTTGCATATGTAACGTCTGTGTATTTGTGCGCATATGTTGCTTGTGTTTATTTGTGCATGTTTGCTTGTGTATGTATGTGGCATGTTCTTTTGTATGGGGAATTGATCTGTTCCATTGAGTCTTTGATGTTTTTATTGTTGTTGTGAAAGCTTTATTGTTAAGTTTACCTCTACTTGATTTTATGCTATGGATTATTATTTAATTGAACGATGTTTAATTTTCAGAATTGACTTGGAGAACTGCAATATGACCAGAGAGAAATTTTCCGCTGGAATTAAGAACATTAATAATCTGCGTTACATGTAAGTTTTTAAGAGGTGATAAAAAGAAGGAATTCATGACCTATTATGCAAAATGTATGTACACCCACACTTGTTTTACTTTCTATCACTTTCACACACATCCACAGGAACAGCACACGGGCAAACACACCAGTGCTATGTTTCACTGTCGCCTCCACATAACACAGGCATGCATATGAAACCACAATCTCCCTTTCACACATAATACTGGCACAGCTCACAGGAATTCACACCCACACTGTTTCATTTTCACATGCAACACAGGCACAACACATGCATACACAGACACACACCTAGTTTTCCTACCATACACAGCATGAGCACAGCACACATGAATACTCACCCATGCTGTTTCATTTCACACACAAGAGAGAGGCACACATGCGCAAACACACACACACACACACACACACACACACACACACACACACACACACACACACAGAGAGTTTCTTTTCCACACACAATGTGGGCATAACACACATTTATACACACCTACACTGTTTCACTTTCAGACACTGTTAAATTTTCTGTCACTCACACACACCACACCTATATTCATAAGGGCAGAGATAAATGGGTAATAAGCTTTTCCAGCGTTGTCTGCTCCTTTTGCTTAATTGCAAACCAGTGCACTACAACATCAATTGAATACCGTGAGGCAAATAAATGAATCCTTCTAACGGAAATTCAGAATCAGTTACGCTTGAAAGTAACTGCCTTTTTTTTTTAATTTTAAATTTTTTTTAATTTTAGCAGCAGCAGATCACTTTGCATTAAATTCAATGACGGCATTAGCATCAAACCATACAAAAAGCAGTGGCAAACTACTGAATCTGACACAATTTCCTAGACACATCAGTTGACAAATGCTGGGGTTGGTTTGTGAGTCATGTGAAGAATATGCAGCTTACTTTTTGTTGTAAACATTGGAGATGATTGTTTTCCACAGATCATTACAGGGAAATGATCACCTCAAGCAAGTAAAAGGTGAAGATTTTCACAGAAACACAAATATTGAATACTTGTAAGTTTTTTTTTAAAAAATATGTGTATGTGTGGTTTTGTTTAGAGCCCATATCTGCCATCTTGCCTGTTTCTTTCTTTCTCATGATCGTGTAAGACAGTGATTCCCAAACTGTGCGTCGTGGCACCCAGGGGAGCCGTGACTCTTCACAGGGGTGCCACAAAATATTGTAAAAGCTTCATAATTTATTTAACCACAGCACAAATAGGCAAACTTTTACTTTGGTTAGGGCGTCGTGGAAACATTTTAATTTAAAAAAAGTCGCAGCAATCAAGAAAAGTTTGGGAAACACTGGTGTCAGAGGTTGTCAGTTAACACATTATTAATACATTTGATGTTTACAAAAATTATAGTTACTTTTTGTGCATGGCATTTATAGATCCTAATATTGTGAATGAAATTTGTTTGGCCGCCATCATCAAGTGGCTTGCCGTCTGTCATAGACCATCATACCTCTCCACAGCATGGGATCTGCAACAGTACATTCATTTGCTGACATCCTTCCATGCCTTGACTAAAGGCTGTCAAGAATCTTCTCTCCTCTTCCTGTCTCTCTTTCCATATATCTTTCCGGTTGTCACAGTATGTTCCAGTTTCTCACTTCTCAAAATCTGGCAAAAACAGTTATAACCATCTCTTTCTTATGTTCATGTTGTCTTCAGCAACTAGATAAAGTATTTAAAGTTCAGATTTTTATTGTGTCTAATAAAAAAAATAAACAACGGTTGTAAGGTACACTCCAATGGTGGAGAAAGAACTGAGTAAATTCATATTATATTGTTGATTCTATTTGGTAAATTAGAAAGTTTTAAACATAGATTATTTTTTTTTAAATATTGGGATAGAATAGTAGTTGGAGAAAACATCATATGTGAGGGTGATATTTGGTATTTTAGGAGAATGGTGTGAGCAACATTGACAGGTGAAAAGTATAGCAATGATGTGTGAAAGGAAATTTGCTTATAAAGAGTACTGGTTGCCTTGCGCTGATGAGAACAAACACCACCTGGGCAGGTCATAAGAAAGAACTAAAGTATGCAGTGACAAGTTGGAGGACACAAGAAAAAAGGGGGAGACCAAGAAAGAAGAGGATGGAAGGTGCAGCTTCATATTATATAGGAAGATCAGTATCAGAAATGATTGGCAGTAGATGGATAGAGTATTTGCACAGACAGTATGACCAACACTACGTGACATGAAATCTGGGTAGACTGGAAAGTCCTATGCTGGAAGTGTCTCTCCGTTTAACTGTGACTGCTGATTTGTGGTACGGGATGTTGTAGAACAAACCCTAGCAGTTTTTGTCTGTTTGGTTTTAGAAGGTAGTTTAACATTTGCTAGTTGACTTTTCCTTTTTTTCTTTAATGGTCAGTATCCGCATGTGGGTTCTGAGGCCTCATTATGCAGGAGGGAAAAAAGAGTAGACTCACTGCCTCTCAACAAGCATGTTGTAAGAGCTCACTATGTGGGGATGTTGCCTTTGAAGTTGGAGTGCATCTGCCTGGGAGGTGAGGCACCAACAGTCTTTATACAAATATGCCAGATCTGTGAAACAGATTTGCCAGCAAAACTCAGGTGCTGGAACAAGACTAAGGTCAAAAAGTGGGTGAAAAGCCAGGACTTTACAGTTTTACAAGATTTAGTTAAATCCGGATGTTTTAAGCCACAGGGTGCAGGTATTGCAGTCTAGCTGTAAACTGCAACACTATGTGCCAGTATTTCTTTTCAGGACAGAGAGTAAAGTCCAAACTGTAATAAAGTTATATTTTTTTTTTCTTTCTGCAGGTCTTTACCATTAGGCATGGCCTGTCCAGGCAACTTGGACTTCTGGAACAGCAACACTACAGATAAAGATGCCACCATTTGCCAAGGAGAACTAGATCCTTGTCTTGTCCACAATGGTAGATATGTTGTTTATCTAGTTAAGTAATTTACAGCGTCAGGCTCTTAGGCAGGAGACTCGTATGCGACCCCCCGGTAAGGTGATGGGGGCAAAACATCCTAATCTTCACAGTCTGTGGTGACAGCACTAGCCATGCGGCCCTAAATCCTCAGACACCTGTCTACTCCACCTTGATAAAGTGGTAAATAAAGACAGTAGTGACAGTTCTTTATTTATAGTGAATTATTCTGTTCCTCATGTCTTATCATACCCTATGTAGGTTAAGGGGTCTCGCTTTGTGGGGGGGGGGGGGACAGAATAGATACACTGCCCCCTAATAAACATATACAAGTAGTTAATTAGGAGTTTACAGAAATCAGACGTGTTTACCCCTAAAAGTGCAGTTGGTACATTGGGTTGTGGTTTACAGCCAGGCTGCAGTATACTGCCTTTGAGCCTGGATACATCTGATTTCTGCAAACTCTTAATGAGTCTCCATTTGTGACATCTTTGTTAAAGGGCAGTGTGTTTGTTTTATTTGCCTAATACCCAAACTGGGGCCCCAGAACCCACTCAGGTTGATTGTTGGAGACTGCGAGTTGTAGAACAGCACACTGATAGGCAAAATTTGTGTGTTGGTAATGATCTCTCAACGGGAGTAGTGTCCTTCATCAACCTCATCCAAAGTCCTCCTGTCTGTTGCTGCCTTTTGCCATTCTTACTCTATCTTTGCTTCTGATTATCTTCTTCTTGTGTTTTATTATACATTGCAAATATTTTTGTTGGTATTTCTGCGGTTCTAAGGGATCTCGAGGCAAGATGGTTAGGCCATTTGCCTCACACTGTAAAGGTCTTGAGTTGGTTTCCCCAACTATATCATTTCAATTTTAATTGCAGTTTGTACTGAGAACACTGTGAATCATCACTGAAGTAGAGTTTGTGCCTTCTTGGGCTTTTGAGGCTAGCTATTTGCGAACAAAGACGAGCCATATGAGATAGAACCTTTGCAGTGTAGTTGGACTTTTACTTTATTGCCCTGGGAACTTAGAAAAAGCAATTTCAATGACCTGTAAGTATGGAATTTCTGGGGAAAATCCTTATAAAAACAACGATTTCACACAAGTCACCAAAGAAACTGATATCAGTTCCATTTAGTGACCTAAACATTAAATTTCATACAGAATATGAGTAGTCACCAGTAAATATTAGATTTAAATGGGTCATATCTCTGTCAGTGTAAAGCAATAATGTTTATGTTGGTGACTGATTTTTTTTAAACCCTGTAAACCAGTCACAGGTAGTGATCATTTGGAAAATTATGACATAATTTCTATTAATAAAGCTAGTGTTTTTTCCACACGAAAACCCCTCTAAATGCTTTATTTAATAAATGTAGACATTCTTGGTTCTTCTAAACATGTGCACAAGCGATGACAGACTATTAGCTAAGCATCTAAAACAAACAGACCACTATAGCCAAGTCGAAAAGTGACTCACCCAGTGGGAATTAGTTTATAGGTTAGCTGGCACTCACTGGGTATGGTGGTCAGCACCATGCCGGCCACCTTTACCTCCCATGATATTTCTTGGTAAGTTTGGCTTAGTTGACCTTTTGAAAGATACATTTTTAAAATGAACACTACAACGTCAGGCACTGACCTCATAGTCAGAGATGAAGATAAATAGATGTAATGCACTTTCAATCTGAAGATATATTCACATTAAAATAGCAGAAATAAGAAGAAGATTATGAAAGTACAGTAAAAGTATAAGACCATTTTTGCCCATTCGGCACACTGGGCGCACAGTGCTAAACCTGTAAACCTATATTTTTATGGACTCTTGATAGGTGATGTGTTCACTATCACCCGAGCTTTATTTGCCAGCACATTACCTAGTACCCATTTTAGGCTGAATAGATCTAAGAGCAGTCTAGGTCAGTTTTGAAATAAAGTCACCCTTGATGCAGATTTGAATGCTGGACTTCCAGACTGGCAGGTGTGTCTCTAGCCTCCACGCCCCCAAAATATATTGTAATCTTGTTTTTTGATTATCATTAGTTGAATTAAGGAATCAGTTCTGCAAAGACACCCGTCCTCCATGCCTTTCTAGTCTATTACTGATAACTCACCACTTCTTATTTTTGTGTCTTCACATTCACAGTGACCTGTCCAGAAAACTCACACTGTGTGCATTCAGGTGTGGGCCTTACAGAATGTTTGTGTAACGTTGGTTACCATGGATACAAATGCATGAACCAGGTATTCATCTTTAAGTTGTTATTCTCAAAACTGTTGAGTAGTCTATTCTTTGCAGCCCACTGTAATTCTTATGAGTATGAAGGTCTCATTCAGCTTCTCCACGTATCCATAGAATAAGCTAGTTGGAAATGGTTGCACTGGATTTTTCTGGACATCAGAAATACGGAGCACTTGAAAACGTTTTAAAATGACGAGAAAACCAGTGAAAGTTAGGAATTGATGCAGTTCATATGGCTATTGATTCTAGCATACACTGTTGGAAACTGAATAATGGGCCTACCCTGGTTTTTTGTTGTTGTTGCCAAAACCATTGATGTTGTCATTAGCTTTTGCTTGGGACATTTAAGTATGAGTGGTTTATCCGTTTTTCCTCTTTGCCTACTTCCTCTCACAGTCTTCCTTTATGTTGTTTCTGAACTTTTTGGTCTATCCCAGCTCTTGCTTTAGTTAACCATCCTTCCTGTTTTCCATAAGGTCAATGTGATTGGTTGTCCACTGTTATACTGATGATGTGAGATACTATCAAGTTGAATTGCTCTTGCTGCTAGATAGATGCCTTTGCTATCATATGTAGTTTTCTCAAGGTCTCAAGGATATACAAGGCTTTCCTGAAAATCACATCACCTGAATTGTTTCACAGTCATGCAGATGGTGTAGCAGTTTAGTAGTAGTTCTTGCAGTAGTTCTGCTTTGTAGTTGGAGCAGCTTTGGCAAGGCAATCACACGACTCACAGTAGGTTGTCTGATTACGCAATGTAGACACAATATATGAGGAAAGTAGTTTGCTTTAGCACTTATATGACCCTCAAAATTGTGGTAGTATATTGCATATCCTGAGATGAAGTGAACAGAGAATGAAAACAAAAGTGGAAGTGGAAAACAAAGGTATTGAGGACATAAAAAGGACACCATATGATGAACATTGATGGGAGAAGCTAAAGGTATCCTGACTTGATTCTGTTTACGAATCGAAAAGACTGCCCAAGGTAAAATGGACTCAAGAAATCGACCGTGAGCCATGTGTGATATTTAAATGACACAGCAGGATGAGGATGATGATGTTGCCTCAATGCAGAACTATCCGTGCATACCTAAATTGTCAATACTGGGTGTCTGTTAGCGGTGTCTGAGTATCACCCTCATCATGATCATCTTGCTGTGAAATTATTTCACATACTGCTGACAGTCTGATATGCCCCTCTGTTTGGCCTGTGCAACACTTTCATTATCATAGATACTGACTCAGTCCATCACCTTTAGCCTTTCTCGTCAGTGTTCATTTTAGTTTTTCTCTTGGACATTCTTATTTATTCGATCAGTTTGTTCCCCATTCCAGTGCCTCTTTGGTGTTTCCGGCTTACTCTGTCCCCACCCCTTTTTCTTTTGCTCAGTAATTTTATCTTTAATTCGGGTGGGCAGGAGCTCAAGCCTTGCTTAACTCATCATCATCATGTGCCCTGCCAACTGGCATAGGCGCTCATGCATCTCCACAGATTACAATACCAGGTTGCCTGGAACAGCTCTCTTGATGATATACCTCTACCCCATCATTTTAGCCCATCCAGCATCATCTCTCTTGGTCTGCCTCTATCCCCTTTTCCGCTGATCTTTCCAGTTGTCACAGTGTTCTCCAATGTCTCTCTTCTCATTATGTGGCCAAAGAACAGTGTTTGTCTCTTTCTTATTGTTGTATACAGAGATCTACTTTCATTAGCCTCTTTCAAGCAATCGTTGTGTTACTCTTGCTTAACTGCGCAACAAAAAATAATAATGTCATTAATTTATTTACTATAGTGCCACCTACTTTATCTTGTAACTGTTGATATCAGCGATCGTCCTAACCTTGTCCAAGGCACATATCTTCATTATTGTATAGTATAAATTCTTGTTAACCATTATGTCAATGGGTTTTGGTTTTATTTTGCTGTCTGGAATGACTAATGCTGCCAACTAATTTACACCAATATTTTCATATTATCTATGTGAATTTATTTCATGTAGATAATGTATACATTTAACCTGTTTATATTTTTCCCCAGGGCACATTTCCAACAATACCTTTTGTACTGGGCATTGCCATTCCGACTGTTGTGATATGTGCACTATTATGGGTAACACAGAGGCGATATGTCAGACCTTCAAACAAAAATAAGTAACTCTCTGGCACAATGTGGGGCAGATGTTGCCAGGTGTTAGTAAAAAACAGCTGCTGTTTTTGTATGCTAATTTTATTTTTATGTGTTGATATGGTTTCCATTGACCTTTGATCTAAAAGCATAATAAGTGCATCCTACATTACATTTATATGTTTTGTAGTTACTCTGGGTTGTTACAGACTTGATGTTTTATGATATATGTGGTGCTGTAGACTTGCTGTTTTATGAAAATTACCAGAAAGGATCTCTGTGGCAGAATGGTCAAGCTATTTGGCTTGTGCTATGAAGGCTGTAAGTTTAGGTTTAGGCTGCAAATCCCACTTTAAGGGGCATTTTATTTTGGAGACCATAGGGGATAGTTGCTGGAGCTAAGGGATTTATTTTGTGTGCAGTGTTCTCGACAGACAGCAAGCTGTTCTGCAGATGGAGACCAAGCCAGAGGGTAGAAACTGGTGCTGTAAAGCCAGTCCTGACTTTTAATATGATGACATAATAGAGGTTGACTGTAGTAAAGCTAATGAAAAGAAGTGCTAAATACAACAGAAAGCTCAACAGAAGTAATAGAAAAGACCTGCACACTTGCAACCGAGCATTTCAACCAAAGCTGTTATCAACAGAATACTAAATACAACATTAACCTTGACAGTAAGGTTCAACAGATCTTGGTTTTTTTTAGAAGCTTTTTTTGTTTTGTCCATTTAGTTTTCCAGTTTGTGTTGTATTTAGCATTCTCACTTTTACACCTTTTTTAGGGAGGCTGCGTGGTCTCAAGGTACGGTGTCTGCCTCAAGTGCTAGAGTTCCCTGGTTCAGGCCCTGGTGAGGGCTGGGTTTTTTCCCTGCTCATGAGGACTTTTAGTAATTTCCCCTGGTCTCTGGGTAGTAAGATTGGATGCCTGTGTGTTTTGTTGCGAATGCACAAAAATCCCTTGGCAGTTGGATATAAAAAAAGTAGCCTAACGGTGCTGCTCTGAAAAATTTTGAGTTAAAAATCTACCCAAAATATTTCAGGATCCTCGCCGGTGCTGCGGAACCCGTGCACTGCGCCGAGCTTCTTCGGACTCAGACTTGAGTTAGAAGAAGAACGGAGCACCCATGTGCCATGATGTTGATCCGTTGTTCAAACTTCAAACTTTTACACCTTTTGGGGGGAGGTAACAAGCTGGAAAATCATCACTCATGCAAGTTTTTTTCTAAAAGTTAGTTATCTATGTTTGGTCGAATCTTTATGAAATTTTGTGCGGGCCTTCTTTATCTATCATATAAATAATAAATCACAGGGAAATAAAGTTATGTCTATTTATTTCATACTTATTTACATTTGATGAAGGTACATATTTCAGTGATGAGTAAATTTGTTGCAGTACTGATGTCAATCCTGCTAAAACAAACTGTTCTATATATGCAGCTAAAAGTTTGTGTAGCTTCTCTTATATAGTTAAGCTATAATCTTACCATTGTCCTTCTCTGTGTCTAAGTGAGATTTTCTTATACTGATGTCCAAAAGTATGTATGTATGTAAGTAAGTTGCACTCCACCAGGATGTCACACAAAGCTATAAACACCTGGTGACACAAAGTGGATCCCCCGTGGAGAGGTCCCAGAAACCCCCTTCAGCCGTTAGACCATATTTTAGGGCCCCCGGCAAAAGCCAGGGTGGGGCTTCAAATAGCGAAAAATTGCATCCCACATGGGGTAGACTATGTCGTGCTTTAACTTTTTTATGTCCAAAAGTTTCATAAAATCATAACTCAAGTCAAATGTTGTTCACTAGTATGGGACTCTTAAATCTGGCATGTTTCAAACAGAATCTGTTGAAGAGCATATCCTCCAAATTTTATTTAGTTTCGCCCGACAGTTTTAAAATTATCTTGTCAACAGTAATGCACATGTGCGAAAACTTTATTTTGAGAAAACGGCCTTGAAAGTTTTGAGTGCGCTGAATAAAGCCTTTACTTAATAAATAGAGCAATGAAATTTGTTCGGTTTTTTATTTTTGTTTTTTTGCTGTGTCCCATAAAACTGGTTGTAGGGAGCTCAAAAAACAGAACAATTTGTAACTTAAATGAAGTCTCTTACAAGTCGATATACAATTTTTCAAAGTTTGTATGTCGTAATGAGCATGAAAACTTAGATAATAAGTTGCACATGCTTTAAAGAATGCAGAAGTAGTGCTTCAAATGTTTTTTTTAAAAACCCCGTTTGTACAGCTGTTTCTTATTATAATGTGAGTTGTGTGTACCGAAACCCAAAATGGTCTAAATTTACGATGTTTATCTTGGTCCCCCCTTTAACATGATTTTAAAAAAAAAAACAGCAGTCAACACCCACACTGCACTGGAGATTATTTTATAATCGTCGGGTACCTCATTATGACTAATGTGGTTTAATGAGGTTTCTTGGACTAGCTGCCGTTGATTTCTCATTCTTTCAGACTGCAATCCTGGTCAGGGGAAATGTCAACATAAAAACTAAGCTGTAATTCTGTATAGCAGATAAATGTTTTCATTGTCATTACAGCTGAACATAACTGAGACAGTTGTGAATGAATTCAAATATGACATCTCTCTCTCTCAAGATACACAATTTACAATTAGATTTATGTGTGTATTTTAAATGTGGTTAGTTTATATCTTTAAGATGTTTACATGACAGATAAAGGCTGTATAGCCAAGAGGCATGCGTTTGGTGTTACAAATTTTCAGATTGTTCACCTTGTGCCTTTGTATTATGTCTGTCCAATGGGAGGCCTGTATGGTGAAATGGTCAAGCCATTAGCCTCACACTGTAAAGGTCATGGGTTTGTTTCCTGGATGTGCTGTTAAATTCATGGAGCAGTTTTTATGTAGATTACTGGTGTCATCGCTGGAGCTGTGGAGTTCATGCTTTTTGCTATGCTCTGGGTCAGTGGCCAGCCTTTCTGTAGGGAGAGGCCGATTTTGGGGCAAACAAGAATGGACTATATACCTCCCCAACAAGCATGCTGTAAAAGTAATGTATTTGGGGGCCTCCTTCAAAGCTGGAGTACATCTGCCTGAGAGGGGGGGAAAAAACCAAGAGTCTGCGAGGAAATCAGATCTGTAAAACAGATGTGCCTGCAACACTCAGGTTCTGGAGCAAGTCTAAAGTTCAGAGGTGGATGAACACCCAGAACTTTCCATCAGAGTTTACAGCTGGTGAATGTGAAGAAGAAGAAACTGACGCACAAAGAGAGCTACAACTGCACACATCAGAAGAAAACAATCTACATCCTTTGGTCATGTCATGAGAAGGAGAAAACTGGATAATATAGTGACAACAGGAAAGTTGGAGGGAAGAGTGCAAGCAAGAGAAATGATGGTTGACAGTTTGGCACTGTGGTTTTCAGTATAGACATTAGAAATGATAGGCAGCACATAAGACAGATGGCTGTGAAAAGACGTGATTACCACCTCAGCATGGTCTGTGTTGAGGTTAGCATGTGTGTGCGGTATTTGAATTTATTTTGTCGTTTGATTGAAACAGCCAGTGTCTTTTTTAACATGTAATGAGAAGACAAATAACACCGACCAACACCACTTGACATGAACTGTATTGAGGTTGAAATTGTGTGTGTCTTTTGAATTTGTCTTTGTTTTAGCTAGACTGATTAAAAGAGAGCAAGAGGCAGGCAAAGATGTGACCACATAAATGGCTATATAAAAAACACTGACCTGATCTGTGATTCTGATAATTGTGAGAGATTGTGAAACAGCCTATGCTTATTGACACAGAACATGATAGTTGGATTTGATCAATACCCTTTCTACCGTTGTGGTTTTGAAACATGCTTTTATTTTATTATAACTTTGATCTCGTCATGTTTTTCTTGTTTGAGTCATACTTTTTTTATTGATACCCAGTCCCCATTTCTTTTATTTATATATATATATATATATATATAATTGTCATGTGCCTTGCCGACTGGTGTGGGCGATGATGCCCCTCTCTGCGATCTGCTGCAGCATCTATCAGTTCGTGTGCTGGCACACCTCCATTCCATGCAACAGAAATGTCAAGAATCTTCTCTCGTTGTCTTCCTTTATTCTTCCTTCCACAGATCTTTCCAGTGGTCACAACATGTTCGTTCCAATTTTCCTCTTCTCATAACATGGCTGAAAAATTATGAATGTCTCATTATGATGTCTGTGATAGGTTGTCTTCGGGCTCCTGTCTCTTTCAAAACCTCTTGGTTGCTGTTTTTGGCTGTCCAAGGTACTTTAAGCATTCTTAAAGCATTTTAAGCATTCTCCATTTATATATATATATATATGTGTGTGTGTATATATAGAAATATTGGACATTTATACTGCTCATGTTTACTACAAAGATTGTTGTAACTAATGATTTTGTGTCTGAAAAATATTCTAAAGTTTTCTGTGTAATAAACAAATATACAAGTACTGACTGGCAGAAGCAGTGAAAAAAAAAAGGTAGAGCTGGCTGGACACACTAGATAACAAAAATCAAAACCCATTGTTACCAGAATTTGAACCTGCCATCCTGAATCCTGTTATGGTAATTATAGTATTTGATTGTTATGCTGTACAATATTTCCTCCTGTCTCATTTTCTTCGAAAACCGGTCAATACTACTGTGCTTATTTGCTGTGCTGTTTCACTGACCTCAAAGGTTCTCCTTCTCCTTATTCGCATACACAGGCTGTAAACTCTGGTGGAAAGTTCTGGTTATTCATCCACTTCTGGACTATAAGTCTTATTCCAGAAAATGGGTGTTGCATGCACATGCATTTTACAGATCTGACTCATGTGTATGCAGAATGTTGGTTCTTGAAGGAAGCCCCCAGTTAAAGTCGACTCTTACAATATGCTTTTGGATAGACAGTGGGTCTATTCTTTGTTTTCACCACAATGGGGCCCCAAAACCCACACGGGGAGGTTCTCATTGTGCCCTTTATCCCCTAGTGGAGCATAGGCCCTCAACCCACTCGCACCAAGTTGTCATATCCTTTGTGATCACATG